GCCATTTTAATAATTTAAATATTATTGAAATGAGTAGGCTAAGAATTAATTTAATAAAATTTAGTAAAATCCATCCCAAAATCTATAAGCAAGGTTGGAATCTATCACTTTTTGTAACTAATGCTAAGAATTAATACCTTTGAAAAACAGGCTAAAAATATTTTCAGTTAAGTAGAGTTTCAGTTGATTTAAGTTTCAGAGAGGTAGGAGGAGTAAGTTTTGAGATCTCTTATACAGCAGAGTGACTGTAGTCAGCAATCATGTATATCTCAAAATAGCTGAGAGAGTGAATTTCAAGTATCTCACGACATAAATGATGGGAGGTGATGGTCATGGTTCTTGGCTATATTTAATCACTCCACATTGTATACATGTATATATCAAGATGTCACAATATACCCCATAAATGCGTATAGTTATGATTTATCAATTGAAAAATTATAAATAAAAACAAAAGATAAATAAAAATTAATAAAAATAAAAGATAAATAAAAATTAACACTTACTGGATGAAGATGGTTGGTTTTAACCTATTCATGGTTTATTCTTTTTCACAAAAGTTTTGAGATACACAAAAATCAAGAAATGTAAAACCCACATGGATGGAAACAAATGAAGCCCTCCTGGCAGCAGCGATAAGGCAAGCAGGTTGGAACTTGCAGTGGTGAATCAGAAAGGATACTGTTGACCATGTTTTTTAGCAGTGAAATAATGGATCATTACACAGTCTGTCTCAAAACTTTGGTATTGACCTATGTACATATTATTTGAATACAATTTTCCCTCAGTCTCCTCAGGGAGATTGATCCCAAGACCCTTTCAAACCAAAATCAGTGGATGTGCAAGTCCTTTGTGTAAAATGGCATAGTATTTGCATATAAACTATATACATCCTCCCATATATTTATTATTAATTTTTAATTTTTAATTATTATGGGTATATAATAGTTATGTATCTCCCATATATTTTAAATCATCTCTAAATTACTTATAATATCTACTTTGATATAAATGCTGGGCAAATGGTTATTACACTGTGTTGTGTTTAAAACTTCTATTATTTTTCATTGCCATATTGTTAGTTTTTATATTTATTAATTTTTAAAAATAGAGACAAGGCCTTGCTGTGTTGCTCAGGGTGAAGTGCAGTGGTATGATCACAGCTTACTGCAGTCTCTACCTCCTGGCCTCAGGCAATCATCCTGCCTCAGCCTCCCGAATAACAGGGACTATAGGCAGGTGCCACTGTGACTGGTTTTTTTTCCCTTGACATTTGTGATCTAAAGTGGGAGGAATCTGAAGATGTGAAACCTGCCAATATGGAGGACTGATTGTACATCATAATTTACTTATCTGTTCTCCTATTGATATACTTTTGGTTATTTCCAGTTTTTGCCTATTCCAAAATAGGCTGGCATAAAGATTTATGTATAACCTTTTTTGGGGTGGATATATGTTTCTATTTTTTTGAGCGAATATCTATAAATAGAATTGTTGAGTCATACTGTAGGTTTAATATTGTAAAAATTGCCAAACCATTTACCAGATACTTTTGTCATTTTATATTCCTACTAATAATGTAGGAGAGTTGTTTCCCTCTCTTGGTTATTGTCAATAATGCTGCAATGAACATGTAAGTGCAGACAGACATCTTTTTAGTATACTGATTTCACTTTCTTTGGGTGTGTAACCAGATGTGGGATTAGGGAACTGACCTTTGGTATCTGAACTTAGAATACAGTAATTTAAAAGCCAGAATGCTAAGTACTATGTATAAAAAGTTATTTGATTATCACCCCCCCCCCTTTTTTTTTAACAGTATCCTGGTCTGTTGCCTTGGCTAGAGTGCAGTGGTGTCATCACAGCTCACTGAGCAACCTTAAACTCCTGGGCTTAATCCTCTTGCCTCAGCCCCCTGAATAGCTGGAACTATAGGTGTGTGCCATGATGTTGTGTGGGTAGTTTTTTCCCTATTTTTAGAAGAGATGGGGTCTCACTCTTCTTCAGGCTGGTCTCAAACTCCTGATCTCAAGTGATCCTGCCACCTCCCAGTGTGTTAGGATTATAGGCCTAAGCCACCTCACCCAGTTCCAATCCCTATTTTTACATAAGATGTGACCTTGTAGGTAGACCTACTGTGAAAACTAAAAGTTAGTTACGAGTTGATTCTTGTTGAACTTGAAATTAGAGCAAAAGGACATCCCCAAACTTGTCCAACAGACTAGAATGACAGAAAACTCACCCAATCCTTTCTTTTTCTAAGTTTTCTTCCTGAATAAAATAATACAAGCAAGGGCCACAACAGAAACAACAAAACCTTATAGTAGTCCCTTACAGTTTTATGTGTTTCAATATCTATAATCACTGCTGAGTTTACATCTGTTGCATGTTATTTCTTTTATGTTTACATATGGAAGAAGCTCCTTGTTCATGTAAGCATCCTAGTTCAAAAACATAAAAAGGGCCAGGCATGTGGCAAGTGTCTCGCTGCTGTAATCCTAGCACTCTGGGAGGCCAAGGCAGGCAGATCCCTTGAGCTCAGGAGTTTGAGATCAGCCTGAGCAAGACTGAAACCCTGTCTCTATTAAAAATAGAAAAAATTAGTGGAGTATGGTGGCAGGCACTCAGGAGGCTGAGGCAGGATTACTTGAACTCAGGAGTGTGAGGTTGTTGCTGTGAGCACTCTAGCCTGGACAACACAGTGAGATTCTATATCAAAAAGGAAGAAAAAAAATCAAAAACATAAAATGGAATCATATCAAACTCAGCACTACTTGGTTGCAATAAACAGAAACCTACCTCGAGGTATTTAAGCAAAAAAAATAAATAAATAAATAAAAATAAAAAAAAAAATAAAAGGAATTGGATTAGACCATACAACTTGAGAAGTCCAAGAGCTGGGGTTGGTTTAAGCAACTTTTGTATTGAAAAATTTCTTCTTTCAAAAAATTGATAAACTTAATTTTTTTAACAGTGGTTTCACTGTTCCTCTATTCCAACTGCTCTTATTCAAAGAAATTATTATGTATAGATATTAAAACTGGATGGAGACTTAAAAAAATACCCTATGACAATCAAAGGTAGACAAAATTACTTAAATAAAATTGAGATATTTTCCCCAAATAGGAACAGTGCAATTTGTAACAGTTTTCCAGAAAATTATCTGCAGTTAAAAAAAAAATACTGGTTTGTTAACTCACGTTATCCATATTTTCTTTCTATACACAGATTGCAATCTAAATATTAGTCTGTTGAGTTTGGTTTTGTGGATATTTATTTAGAATTTTTATGAAACAAGAAAACAGAAGAGGAATAGTGCTGTGCCGATGGCCTCTGGGGTTCATGAGAGACCCCAGCGCTTACTTCTCCGAGGTTATTCCCACCTCTTAACTTGTTTAAGATCTCGAGATAGATACTGCGTGAGACAGTTGAAAAGCAGAGGTTGACCGCATTTCCAAGGGTGTTTGTTCCTGGCTGCTGCTGTCCACAGGGCCGGGGCTACAGGCTGCATGGAGGGGGAACGTCCCCCCAGGTGGTGCAGGCGGGCTCCCCGTTGCCGATGCTGGCCGCTGGCAAACCTATTCCTTTCCAAATTCGCCTGGTCCTCATTCAGCCGGAAAACACAGTAGCTGTAGCCGCACACAGACTTTTCCTCTTTCTCTTTCCTCCTCTTACCCCTCCCCAGACCTCTCTGGGCTTTGACGTCAAGTGTGCTCCTTTCAGTTGCCATAGCAACCCCATTCCCCAAGCCCTCTGTCCGTCTCCTCCGGTAGGTTCCACAATGGTACAGGCAGCATCACGCTGCACAATGGTTTCCAGGCAGTGAAAGAGGGTGATTCAGCAAGCCTCTCTTCTTCTTTTTTCTTTTAACCTCCCCTTCTTTTTTTATTTTTATGGGGGTGGGTGGTGCTTGTTCTGTGCTTACCTTTTTCTTTTCTTTTTTTGTTTTTACAAATTTCCTTTTTTCTCCTCACCTCTCAATTCTCAAGGGCTTCAGTGAGTTTAAGATTGTGTTTTCTTGGAAATCACCAGTCCATCATTAATTTTAAACAATCTGCTCATCTCCAAAGAGTCTCTTCCTTAGCACAGTTTGGAATGTGGGTACTGAAACGCAAGTAGGGAGGGTTTCTGGGGCAAACGCTGCCGGATCAGGATCGCAGTGCTCGGCACGGAATGGTAGGTAGCTCTTTGCTCCTTCTGGGTTCTTATCTGCGTTTGGAGGGTGGGGTGATGTCTATTGATTGCTCCTGGTGGGGCGGGAGAAGGAGTGTGGGAGAGCTGGGAGAGGTGGGGTAGAAGCAGGTTAATGAAGTGAAGTATCTCTGAGGCACGGAGCCACCAGCTTTTCCTTCTGTGCAGAACATCTCTTCCCAGACTTGAGTGTGTTGAAACCTCTCTGTTTGAAGTGAAGGGTAGCTGAGGCTGGGAGAGAGCATTCTTATTGTGACTAGGGGCTTTTAGACCAAGGCAGAGCTCCAGAATGGAAGAGAAAAACACACACACACAGCGGGGCCGGGGGTGGGGGCGTCAGGGTGGGGGGCGGGGGTGAAAACAGCTGTGCTTGTCAGAAGTGCTGACCTCAGTTCCACATCTGAGAAATGCTATGGGTTCCATGAAACGTTAAAAAATAACGTCTTTTAGAATGCATATCAGTTTACTTCTTGAGAGCTGTAACTTAAATATTTTTAATGTATTTATGCACAAATGCATAAATACATTCCAAAATGTTTGGAATGATATATGTATATGCATATATGTATACACACACACACACATATATACACACTCACACACAATTTTTTTAGGTGAAAAACTAATGACATTACTCCTGCAGAGTGACTCGAAGCTAAATTTGGGGTGGAGAGAGGAGAGCAGAAAAGGGTTCAGGTTAGAGATAAGAAGAAACATTGTCACCGCAGTCATATAGGTAAGGGGTCCCTTTAAGAAAGTGATCTAGTCACAGCAAGCAGCATTTTTTTTTAATGGCAAGGTTCCCAGGTATTTTGTGCTGGGATACCGTGTCCCCTAGAAATGTCAGAGCTCTTTTGGGGGAAAAAAAAAATCAGAAATGAGCATGGCAATATGTTTAATCAGAATTTATATATTTGTGCCTTCAGCAAAATAAATGTGATTTACTGGAAAATCTTGGAGTAAATCAGGTTATAGATATTTCAAAAAAATTATGCATTGTATATTTTCTTTTTTCCTTCCTACATTCAAATCTAGATGGAGACCGAGTCTCTGCTTTTGCCTCCTTAAACAGATAACTTCCCAGGAAACTGCAATTTAGCCACAGAAGAAGAATAGCTTATCCCAAGGCTACAGGCTCTGAGGCAATGACAAGGTTGTTTACGTGGGCTTCCTTTGCTGCAGAGCCTGCCAGTGGATGTATGGCAGCCCTGCCTGTTTCTGCTGTGTGGAAGATAACTTTTATGAAGGAACTAGGAAGAAGCAGGCTAAGTCATATGGGGCAGGCCGTAGTTCAGATTTCAGGAAAATGGTTATGCTGCACCAAGAATTACCAGTCCAAGGTTCAATATCTTCTTTTGTCCCTAATCTGCTAGTTGTCAGACCCTGGAAGAGCTCACAGAGCACTGATCAACATATTTAAAATGGTTGCAGTAATGACTATTTCTCTCAGAGAAGCTTCTGTAAATTTTCTACTTTAGGTGAGCATGTATGTTGTAAATATAGATAACTGTGTTCATGAATGAGCTCACGAGCTTCTGATGCCACTTGGGAACCACTGGATTTTAGGGGCTGGACAGTTTGGATGTAGCAGTTTTGCTGCCCCAGGTATGTATTCCCATCTCTACCTTGCTCTTACTCTAAAAATTGACGTGAAGAGTTGGATTAGCTTCTTTTATCACATGGAGCAAACTGGCTTTCCTCTCCCCCACACTGGGACTAGAGAATCAGATGACAAAGGTGCTATGACCTTAAATCTCAGAGTCGTCATGCTTCTCCATTTGCATAATCGTTCCCTCCTGCTGTAGCAAAGTGTCTTTAATTTCAGGGGCTCCTTTTCTTAGAAAATCTTTGCAGTTTCAGTGAAAAGGATTTCTGATAATGAAGCAGTAAGAAATTCTATGTAGAGTGGAAAAATCAGCTGCCTCCAGCTTCCTGCTTGCTCGCCTCAAAACAGCATCTGCTGTGGGGAGGAGTGTGTTTGCCATGCTGGAAGGGGATGTTTATGAACAGATCCCAGAGGGGCTGAGTGTGTTTTCGCTGTCATTGTCTGGTACGTCTGTAGCTGTTGGTATTTAATGGTTTCATAGTATGTGGTCAATATTTTTCAAGGTTAGAATGAACTGCGGTTTTATTGTGGATGCTCTAAAATATAAGCATTTTCAATGTATAGGAAAATTCACAGCATTTCCCTCGTTAGTATATCATATAGGAATATCATAAGCAAAGATAATTTGCCTAACCTAAGTAATGTGAAAAAGCCTCCCACGTTTAAAGGCATATGTATATATTTTTAAAGTTTTCTTGTGGCTTCATGTGAATGAATGTTTCTTTGGATGTAAGCTTGGTTACAAAGTCTTTTTTTAGTGATGAGAAAAGATAAAGAAAAAGTAAGGATTTTCTTTTTTGTTTAACACTGGGGTAGATGTTCTCCCTTCTTGCCTTGGTTCTGGCCTTTGGTCACATCTACATCTAAAGGACTTTGATTCGGATCGCTGTCTTCAGATCAAATGATTGCTTGGTTGCTAGTTAGAGTAATGGACTCATGGCAAGAGAGACTTCCTTTAGTTAGAATAAGAAGCAAACAAATTGATATTTAAAATTTTTTCCTTACTGTTCTATTTTCTCTTATAGTCTCTTTTAAGTTTTTGGTTGGACTTTGCAACAATGATGCAAAAAGAGGCAAAAAGTGTTCACTAATGACAAGAACAGGGCACAACTCTGTTTGCTGCAGGCTTGCTGAGTGCCCCCCTCCTACTACAGACACATCTATTACCGTACCTTCTTCTTTGGACCAAGCACTTGTGGAAAAAGTTGAGCCTGTAGACTACCGGGACAGATGTTTAGTGGTAAAGAAGAAGAGAATCCATTTGTTTCTTGAGCATAATTGCATATATCTATTGCATTACATAAGTCTGAGATGGGACTCTGTACTGCTGATTCAGATAAAAGATCATGCTGCACATTGATTTTTTGAAAGAGAAAATGTAATTTAGAATTGGAACCTGCATTTTTAGAAATTCACCTATCTGCTCCTGTGAAGCTGTACGGTTCTGACTAAAGATTTTTCGGTTAGAGTATATTTTATCCTAGAAGCAAATCAAGGCAAAGGAGGGGATAAGGAAAGATCTAGATGTTGTAGATACTGTATTTTCTGTGTTTAATGGTGAGAAGCTTCATTTCTTATTATGAATCTTGGTAAAAACTCTAAGAGGAAACATCAGGTGATATTGAAATTCCATAAATAGAAAGACACATTTTAGGTTTCAAAAGTAGACCTCAAACACCTACTTATTCTTGGTAAGGGATTTTCTAGTTTGACATTTTGGATCAATAGCTAGCCACCATGGCCTTTCTCGCTCTTCTTATCCCTGGTGAATGTGAGATGTAAAATGCATAGGCTTATGGAAATCATGCTCCTAGGAATGGAAATTGAAGCTTTCAATGGAAAAAGAAATGACCGGAGGCTCCTTAGAAGCCTTTCCAACCACAGCACTCTAGACTCTGAGTGGAGTGCTGGTCTAAGGTGAAGCTCCATTACAGGACAATCAGACATTTGTAAGTGGCCTCAACAGCAATAAACAGACTTTTTACTACTTTTGTAATAGGAATAAAAAAAGCAGCAGTGATTTAAAAGTTCTTGAGATCCATCTCAGTGATTTGTCTTCATAGAAGTAAAACCAATTCCTGGTTTGTACAGATGTTAACCTGCCTGGCTGAGTGCTCTATGTGTTTCTCTAAAACGAGTTGCTTAAAGTAATTGTCCTTTTCTTGCTCATTGAAAATAGGTTCTGAAAGCATGGATAGTGAAGCAGAGCTCTTAGGTCTGTTTATTTGCCAATGTTCATTCACTGTTTGTGGAAGGAAGCCCCATCACTGCACTTCAACAACATAGAAATTGCCTAGTCCTGCGTTTCCTGTATTCTCTACTAAATTATCATCTCTGTCAGGGACTGACTCTGCCTGGCACACAGTAGGGACATGATACATATTCATTGAGTGAATGTCTCCTGTGTACTGGGTTCCCTGCTAAGTGCTGTGGGTGGAAGAGATTGGGGAACGGTAATGCAAAGTAACTCATTGTTCCAGTGAAATCTTACATCAAAAGCAGAATGTGCAAACACACGTACCAGTGGAGCTGTCCTGGTCAAGGATAAGTGGGATGCTTTGTCTTAGAGAGCCCAATCCGTATCACGAAACCCCAAATATCATACCAACCCAAGTAATAATTTGGGTTTATGTTCAGATTTTAAAAAATCCGACTGTTCTGGTACTAATAACACCAAAGTCCTTGTGCTTGCAATTAAATTATGATGTGTTAACTGTCTTGAGATGTTTCATTCCCTGCCCCCTGCAACTCACCCACCTAGGAACTGATTGTTTTGGATATTAGTCTTTTGGCCTTCTAAATGCATGTAAAATTTCCATTTAAATCTTAAAATTGTGCTCATCTATCTTTTTGGTTTAATTTTAGGCTAGTATGAGAAACACCAACGGCAGGACCATCTCAGATCTTCACTATGACAACTCATGCAAAAAGGTGTTGAATTAGATCCATTTCCTATAGATGAGAAACCATACAAGCAGTGGTGAGTTACAAATTTCACAATGTTCCTGAGCAGGAAACCTATGATTGACACAGCCAATTAAATATTGCATATGGTTTAGTATATGTATCGAAAGAAGTATTGCTTCATATAATGTCAACTAAAAAAAAAGTCAATAGAACAGAGTGTTTAATTGATGGTACACTACTACATATAGTGGTGCAAAGTCTTGAGGTGGCTGGGTGCAGCATATAAGACTGTGATATGAACACCATGATCTTTGCCACTCGCAATTTCATGTGGCAGAGTAACAGCTGGGTACCATTATTTTAAGTGACTCGTCTAATTTGCAGCATAGTACTGTACTTTTTTTACTGATCCATGTCATTTAGTAGAAAAATTGGTTCTTAGCTAAATTATGATGCCCAATTCCTTTCAGGAGCACACACGTGCATGCACACACACACAAACACACAATCATGTACACTACACAGAATTTAGATCTTCAGAAATAAGGGAAGAGAAATAACAGTTTCATAAAATTCAATTTATGAACATTTTAGCCTATAAATCCTTTTGTTTAAAACAATATTAAAAATAGATCTAGTTGGTCTGCCTAGTTGGAGTAATTTCAAAAACTCATTTTATAAAATATTAGCACACACAGGCAAAATATCTTTTTAAATCAAATACTTGATGCCTCGTAGTCACAAAAGTCAATAATCAATAGATTCCAGCTGAGATGAACACATTATAATCTGTCAAATAACATCTTTGAGAAATAGAGTATGACAATGGTGTTCATAAGATTTGCAAAGAAGCTGTTTTGAACTAGCAATCAATATCTTTCTTTCGTTTGCTTACTGGCTTGTATAACGCTAGATATGTAGACTGCCCTGTGATCTAATGAATAGCTTGTGATAGCAAAAGACTGACAAAATTAATTATAGAGTTCTTTCACACTATGATTTAAAAAAAAATTCTGCCTCTAATTATATTGAAAAAGCAGATCTAATAGTCATCACTATGCTGTGCTTAATCAACATATATTCAACCAGTTTGTTATAAAGAAGGATTTATTTACAGTTGCTAATAATCAACCATTTTGACCTAAAATAAGGGAAATTTTAGGTCAAATCTGATTGAACCTAAGATGAGTATGATTGAACCTAATATGTTGAGTTATGTGTTTTTCCCCATAATGGAACAACATATATTATGTTGCCTCTGTCATAAACATTAATTAATTAAGCAAACATTACAATAAAATGTCCTGTTAATGGGGTAGATGTATTCTAAGGAGGGTAGACTTATAAAGTGCTATTACATGGGCAGACGTAGAGTGCCACTGAAAGTGCATCAGAGGAGACTCTAACTCAGATATGGTAGGGATTAGTCAAGAAAGTCTTCTCAGAGCAAGAGATATTTTAGTGAGCTATTAAGCATAGTAAGAGGCTAGCCAGAGGAAAGGAGGGATCAATCCACACTGGGGATATTTATCAATAGACCAGAGGTTTGAGGGAACATGATTGTTTGAGGGGACTAGGTATCATTTACTGTGCAGGAATGTAAGTGGTAATGGCAGAGCTGAAGCTGAAGAGGGGTACAGGGGCAAATCATGAAGGATCTCTTAGACAAAGGAATTTAGATTTATTACAAAGTGAAGAGCTTTTGAAAGATTTTAAGTGGAAGAATGCCATGATCAGTTTATTTTTTAATTGTGAAATATGTCACACACGTAAAAGAGTATACTCATATAAAACAAGTGCAAGTTAAAGAATAATTAGAAACCAAACACCATAAGGAATGGCGTTCAGGAGTAGGCTACTGGCAAGCTTATGTGCCCCTGCAGATTGCAGATTTTTCTTTGCCCACCAGAGTTAACCACTAACTACTGCCCTACCTTTTGTCTATCATGTGCATTCCCTTGCTTTTCTTTGTAGGTTTTCCACCTACGTGTGCATCTCTACACTATAAACTTTAATTTTGCCTATGCTTCAACTCCACATATAATCATAGCATATGTATTCTCAGTCACCTGATTATTTTGCTAAACAGTGTGAGATTTGTCCATGTTCATGCATGTGGTTTATTCATGTAAATTTTTGCAGTTTTTGGCCAGGGCTGGGTTTGAACCTGCCACCTCCGGCATATGGGGCCAGTGCCCTACTCCTTTGAGCCACAGGCACCGCCCATTCATGTAAATTTTTGTATAGTATTCTACCCTATGAATATACCAAAATTTACTTATTCATTTACTGTTGATGGACTTTGAATTGTTAAATATTGTATGGAAATATTTATTTATTATCTTTTCATATTTATATATTAACCAAATATATGTAATATATGACATATGATATATAATACATATATATATTTGGTTAGTATATACCCTGTATGAACGAAACCATTTATACTTGTATGTAATAATAGAATATGTAGATTCTATCACACATATACAAGAGCGTCTATAGGATAAATATCAAGGGCAGAAATTGCTGAGTTTGGGGGTATGTGCACCTTTAATTTACTTAATAATTATAAAATGATTTTCCCAATCAGTTGCATTAATTTACACTAGAAGCAGTGTATGAGAAACGTTATGTCCTCACCACAACTTGATTTTAAAAAGTTCTTAAATTTTGCTAATCAGGTGTATACATAATTGTACTCACAGAAGTATTAATTTGCATTTTACTGATTACTAATGAAGAAGAACATCTTTTCATTTTTTATTGGCCATTTTATCATCCTCGTTTGTGAAGTGCGTGCTCAAATCTTTTCAAGATTTGTCCTTTAAAATAATAACTAACATTTCTTGAGTTTATTACTGTATAATAGGCACTATGATAAGCACTTTACCAACATTTAATATTCATATCACCACTATGATTTGTAGATAAACCCAGGTTTAGAGAGGTCAGATGACTTGCTGAGAATCACACAATTAAGAAACACAGACTAAGCACCTAAGCCAAAGTCTTTCTCATCTGACTCCAGAGTTCTTCAGTTTTTCAGATTGTTTGGAAGTGGATTTGATAGGAGCCAGAGAGAACAGTTAAGGTGCTATTGCAGGAATCCAGTTAAAATATAATCATATAAATCAAAATAGGGCACATGTAACAAGCAACTGGATGTGGTAAGGGTGAAGAAGAGGGAGGATTTAAAAAGTCTTAACTTTTAATACCTATTGGCTAGGTAGATTCAATATTCGTCATATGTAATGTATATTTATAGTCTATATACTGTGTAGCTTCTAAGAATATAATTTGTGATTCTATAATTTAATATAAGATGAATTTAGTTCAGATTTTCATATATTTTAGGGTTTTAAAAAACACAGATTTCATTTGGGTCAATTCTTCACTTTTTAAAAAGATGTGGAATAAACCTCTAAAAGAGGGTAAGCAAAAGATCACATGTTACTAAGTGTTAGGATAAGAATAGAAACCAACCCTGCAAAAAGTACAAAGCAATAACAACTGCCTCATTTTAAAATTAATAAGCAAAAGTACAGTCAACCTAGTTTATTTCCTACACATTTCTCACCAGTTGCCTTTGATTTAAATCGGTTGCCACAGCCATGATGTAGACCCCCTTCATCATCGTTAGCAGGTCTATTTAAGTAGCCTGGGACGTTATTGTCTTGTCTGTGATTCTACCAATGAAGTCAGCAGATTTTTTATTTGATCTGCATTTGTTAACAGATAGCTGTCCTGGTTGAAGAATCTTTGATATACTCTGTCACTCATTAAAATATGTTGTATTTGTATGAAGAATTACAATATCGACTAACATTTATCGAATGACTACTTCATGACAAGCAGTTCATTTACTCCTCACAGCAATTCTGTTGAACATTTTGATTTTACAACTGATGAAAATGAGGCACAGAAGATTTAGTGTCTTGCCCAAGGTCACGCAGCTAGTCATCCTCGCCAGGGAGTCTGAGTTTGGAGCACATGCTTTTTTATTGCTATGCTATATTTTTCTTGGTATTAAAGTTGAAAGTTAGATCTGAATGGAGCCTTAAATATTGATATGATTTAAATTCCAGGTAAGTGTAAGGACAAAAATTTCAAGAAATAGTAACAACATAATCATAGTGAAAAGAGATAGATAGAAATTAGCGTAATAGGTATACAAAACTAAATACCTTATAAATGAGATGGATAAGAGAATATTCAGGAATTTACCATTATAGGGTAATGCTTCTCAATGGCTGTCTTGCTTCTCAATGGCCTAAACACAGCTACCAAGATGGGAAACTAAATCCTTAGGAGTATTGAACCTTGGTAAAACCAATATAAGTAGCCCTAGACTATGTTCTGAATTTTGTGTATTCTCCAAATTCATAGGTTGAAGTCCTAACACCCAAGAAGATCCTGTGAGGATATGGGGACTTTGGGAGATGATTACATAGTGAGGGTGAAGGTGAACGGGCCTAGTGCACTTCAGAGAGCTAGCTAGTCTCTTTCACCATGTGATGACACAGCAAATGGACCCTCACCAAACACCACATCTGCTTCAAGTTTAAACTTGACAGTTTCCAGAATAGCAAGAAAAACATTTCTGCTGTTTATTAGTTAACTCAGCTTATGGTATTTTGCAGCCCAAATGGACCAAGACACTCTCCTATTGTAGTATGGATAAAATTTTAAAGATTGGCTGTCCCTCTTGCTGTATCTCTTAGGAAGATGGATTTGGGGCTGTCATTTAAAGTTCACAAGTAATTTGATGCTAGATCATAAAAATATGTTTAATGCTTTCTTTTAAAAATTGGGATTTTCCTGGAGCCTTTTTGAAGACTGAACAACAATCTACACAAAGTTTTATCATCTTTCAGCTTCTTTCTTCATTCTGATAACCAATGTCAGTGGACTACTAATAAAATCAAAGGTTAAGATTTTATGGAAAACTTGCTTAACATAGGAAACTGATTCAGATTAGGACTTGTTGGAAATTTAGTCTACAGTTTTACAGCATTCATTACATTTGAAAATTTATCATTTTTAGTGCAGATACCAGAAATTACATAT